ACTCGAGATTTTGCCATGATGAGTGACGATTGGTTCTCATTAGTAAGGTATGGGACAGCTCCATAGGCTTTGGGACTTGCATCGACAAATACATGGATGTATGTTGTGGACGTTGGGAAGGGAGTTTGGGGAAAGTATTTCCTTGGTATAGAAATGTTGATTGCTTCTTGTAGATCCTTTGTAATGTTTAACCACTTGTTTTTCAGTTCAAGAGGTAATGGTTCATCCCACTCCAGTTCGTTTTGCCACAGTTCTTGGATGAACAGTTTGGCTTTGATGGTCACAGGTAATAGGAAGCCTAGAGGGTCGTAGATTTTGGAGGAGATTTGCAATACATGACGTTTAGTGATAGTTGAGGGTGGTGTGTAGCCTGGGGTTGATGGGAAGGCTAGAGTATCTGTCGATGGGTTCCATTTTAAACCGAGGATGTTGACTATGGGTTTTGGATCAGCTGTTCCGTCCTTTACAGCTATTTCTTGGAGCGAAGGACTGTTTGTTGTCCAAGAGTGGAGATTGAAGTGTGCATCGTGCATGATAGATCGGGCTTCGTTGTAGTATTGGATACTTCTCGTTTCTTGGTCACAGCCAGAGATAATGTTGTCGACATAAATATTGTCCCTTATGTTTTGAGCTGTGGGTAGATCGTAGTTTTCTAGGTGGGAACGAAGGGTAGCATTCAACATAAAGGGGGAGCTTGTTGATCCAAAAAGAACGGTTTTGAAGCGGAAGGTGTCAAATTTGCTCTCTGGGTTTGTAGGGTCTGACAGCCAAAGAAATCTAGTGAAGTCTCGATCGCTTTCATCGAGTCCAACATGGAGGAAGGCTTTCTCAATGTCGGCGGATAGGCCATAGGTGAATGAGCGGAACCGTAGTAAAATAGCACACATGTCATTTAAGAACGGTGGGCCGGTGAGAAGACAGTCATTCAAACTAGGAGAATTCGGTGATGAGTGAAAGCTGCAGTCGAAGACAACTCTGACTGGTGTTGTTGTCGATTCCTTCTGGATAGGGTGGTGTGGAATGTAATGTGTTTTATCAGTTGGTTTGTTTTCTTCAACCTTTTCAATGAATCCTCGTTTGGTTTGTTCTTTGATAATGTCCCCGTACTGTTTCAGAAGGTCAGGGGTAGCGGTAAGTCGACGTATCATTGCTCGGGTGCGACGCTCACATGCCAAGTAATTGTCTGAGAGTGCTGGTATATCATCTTTCCAAGGGAATTTAGCTGTATAACTGCCATTTGGGTTTCTGGTAATGGAGGTGTTAATGTAGTTTCCCAGGAAATCTCCTTGGTTTTCGGTGTGGGAGGGTGGAGTGATGCCGATCGACTCGAGGGACCAAAACGTTTCTAGGTCAAATTCTGTTTGCTTGGTAGATTTGATTGCTTGTAACAAATTTACAAGTGTAGTGGGAGGTCGGAAGGGTGATGGTAATGGCCCAGAAAGGAGATAGCCGAGTTTGGACGCAACAGCAGTGGGGCCCTGGCCGCGAATCACTTTGTCTTCTATAATATCCCAATAATGGTCAGCTCCAATAAGTAATGATACGCGAAAGTCCTCTTGAGTTGTTATAGGATGTGCTAGGGTTAGATCCTTCAGATGTGGCATGTCGGTTATGTGCTGGCGAAGTGGGATCTGGAGGGGTGTTGCTATCTCATCAACTACAAGAACTTCCAATGGAATTCGTTGTCCAGTACGAGTAATGATAAAAACCGTGGTCAATGGGAGGTGACGTCTAGATGGGGTTTGGGCACCAAAGGCTGATAGTGAAATTTCCTCTGTTTGGGTGGGCAAAACTCCGAGTTGCTTCGTTAGATCGGTGGTAATAAAGGACCGTTGAGCTCCTTCATCAAGAAGGATATTGGCATCACATGTTAGTTGCCCTGTGCTGACAGTTGCAATTGCTCTTTTTAGGAGGGAAACATGCCGTACTGTTGCGGAATGGGTGGATGGGACAAGGGTTGCATGGGTAGATGTTGATTGTTGTGTATTTGCCATAGAGGAGGGAACCTGAGGATTGCTTTGTGTGTTTTGAGGAGTAGGGAGGGAAGGTTGGGGTGGAAATGTAGGGGGAGGAGGTGGTGTTGTTGATTGGGGACATAGGGTAGTATGGTGTTTACTCTTACATTTCAGACAACGGAATTTTGATTGGCAGTTAGATGATTTGTGATTTCCTAGGCAATTGAAACACAGTTTTTCCCTTTTTACTATTGACCATCTCTCTTGACAATCCTTTACAACATTACAGTTGTGGGTAGGGTGTGGTCCTTTGCAGTAGGCACATCGTTTTATGACATTTCCTGGCTTGTGCTTGGTGGTATAATGCTGGTTCCCTTGTGTTTGTGTTAGAAATGAACCCGCTGTTGTGTGTTTAGGTGATGGTAGTTTGGCTTGCATGAGGCTGGAATGAACCCCAGCTTCTAGAATTCTTATTTCTTTACGAATAGATTCTCTTAGTTGTGTAAATTTCCATTCATGACTGTCATGGTCGCGGGCCAAGTTTGTTCGGACTTGCTGTGGCAATTTCCCCAGAATGATTGGGACTAGGAGGTCTCCATAATTGCTGTGGGATTTTCCAAGAGATTCCAAACCCCTGATGTGGTTCTCCATTGTGTCATAGAATAGTTGTAAACTTGCTAGTTCATAGTTGGGGTTTGGCAATTCAAGTAAACAGTGCATGTGTGCATTAATCACCTTGGTTGGGTCACCAAATCGTTCCTTTAGGAGTTGGACAGCTTTGGTATAGTTGTGATTTGTAAGGGGAAACCCTGTAATAGCTCTTGATGCATCCCCCACCAGTTGGGCCTTAAGATAACTAAACTTTTGTACATCTCCTAGGGTTGGATTGGTGTGGACTGTGGCTTCAAATGAGTCCCAGAATGTAAACCACTGTAGTGGGTTCCCAGAAAATGTTGGAAGGTTTAATTTTGGTAAACGACTATTTTGATTGAGAGGGCTAGGGTGATGGGGGGTAGTTGATGGTGGGGTTGTTGGAAGTACTGGTGTAACAACTGGGGTTTCTATTTGTAATTGAGTCTCTGTAGGAGGGGGGACAGTCTCTTGTTGAGCAATCTCATTAGGGGTCCCCGAGTGTGTTTGATCATTTGTGTTGACGGATGTTGAGGAGGTTTGATCGCTTGCATTTTCTACGACTACTTGAGGTACTTCAGAGGGAGGGTTACTCGGAGACAACTTAGTTGATTGAAAGCGTTCAATAGTGCTACTTATCTGTGCTATTGTCTCGTCAATTTCTTCTTTGATGCCTTCAGATTGGGATATTTCTTTCTCGAGTTCTTTCGGTTCTTCGACCAACGCTACGATTTTTTCGTCCAGTTCTTCCAGAATCGACCTTTTCCGAGTCAATTGATCAATGATTCGCTTTATCGATGTAATATCACTGTCCGTTAGAGAATCCTCTTTCGTTAGAATATTTGCCGCCTTCTTGATTGTTTGTGTCAAATGGGCTCGATAGCCAGCTCGTGATGCTTGCAATTTTGGTAGATTTTCCGCCATAATCCTGGTCACGGCACCAAATTATGTAGAGTATAATATATATGACGGAAAGGATTTGATAACTTTGTTCTATTTCGTGGATTAGATCGATAGAAATAGTACAAACGTGAAACATGTAAACTAGAATTCTATTGTCGTTAGCGGAACACATGTTCTCCACTTTGCGCGCATGCGCTAAGAGTCCTGAACTATATATGTGTCACTGGAATGTTCACATATCTTCGACACACGGCGTCGGCTTTGGCTTACAGTCGGTCATTTTGAATTTCTCAAGAATCTTTTCAATAAATTTCAATGTACCGGGTTTGATTCATTTTAATTGTGTTTTCACTGCATTGAAATTCAGTGCCTAAAAACCATTTTAGAATCCCTAGGTCAGTCATTTTAAACCTTTCTTTAAGAGACTTTTTCACGCTCTGTAGTGAATTTGAATCACTCGAAGTAATTATGATATCGTCGACCCAAACGATTACGATCACACATCGTTCATCATCTATTGTACGCACATACACACATGGATCTGCAAGAGATTGAATAAAGTTTTCGTTTATCAAATATTGATGGAGTAGATTATTCCAATTCCTACCGCTTTGTTTTAGACCGTATAGCGACTTTTTCAGCTTACAAACTAACGTTTCACCGTTTTCACCGCTATCACTTCGCTTTTCAAAACCTTCGGGTTGTTCTATATATATTTCGCAATCAATTGGCGCATTAAGGTATGCTGTTTTCACATCCATTTGGTGAATAATCATGTCGTTTTGCACGGCACGTTGTAATAACATTCGGATCGAACTCATGCGTGCAGTTGGTGCAAACGTTTCTTGGTAATCTATATCTGAAACTTGCGAATACCCTTTCGCTACAAATCTAGCTTTATATGTTTCCTCTCCCTCTTGATTTGTTTTTATAGTGTAAACCCACTTTGCCCCCACTACCTGTCTAATGTCTATCCTTAGGTCGCGGTACTAAATCAAAAGTGTCGTTATCTGTCAACGCTTTCATCTTAATTTCCATTGCCTTTTGCCATTTGTTTGCCTCAGGCAACTCAAGTGCTTGTTTATAGCACACTGGAATGTTCGCAACTCTATAGCAATAATCAACAGTGTAATTAACATTCTCACCTAATGTGTCATCTAATTTGCTTTGATCGAAATAATTTGGCTTATTGCGAACCCTTGTTGGATACCTATCTCCCTCGGTAACCATTTCGGTGTTGTTTGTTGCATTCTCGCTGTTTGTTTCGAGATGATTCGTACTTCCCTCAACTGTTCCCGACATTTTGGGGTTTTCCTTACCGATATTCGAAGGTTTTCTGTCGGGTATCAACTCATCAAGATCGTTGAGGTTATTATCATTGCCTTGGAAGTTGTCAATAAATTACACACATTATAGTTTGGGAAGAGTCGAGCTCTGTGACGTCCATATCTCCTCTGTGCGACTGACGAAGATATATTGTAAATTTTACTTTGAAATTGAAGTTGCTTTTTTCGGCTGTTTGTATTCCAGTGAATTCCGTTGAGTTGCTAGCAAAGTCATGTCGTCCTGGTTAGTTAACGTGCAATGTAAAAAGATATTCAGAGATGCAAGAAATAAGTTAGTTTCAATTCTGCACCCAATGCTCAATGATTTTGACTACAAAGGTGAAAAGTTGGACATCAAAGACATTGCAGAATTCATGAGTAAGTTTGGAGTGGATTACTCCGTGTTGACAGTGGACCTAGACTTGGAGTTACTAATACTTGTAAAGACCGAAGAAGGAGTTGATATCAAGAACAAGCCATTTTTGTACGCGGTAAGTACGCAAACAAATATCGCAACTTCATATAGACAGAACTAAATATGAAATATTATATGTACACATAATTATATTATTGACAGCATTCCATGATGTAGATCCTACAGTGGACATAGGTTAACATTTAGAATAATTCACGCAGAATATATATTATCAGAAGTATAACTGGAGATTATTATTTTAATTTTTGTGTCCTCAAATATTCCCAAATTGCACACTTCATGCACATGCACGACACTTCCTAGATTGATGGCAGCTCTGTGGCAATTACTTGCCTTCGTAAAACGAATAAGCATAACTGAATGTCCTGGGCAGCATTTATTTTCCCAGGCAGAACTAAATATGAAATATTATATAAATTATACAAATATATTATTGAGAGCATTCCATGATGTAGATCTTACAGTGGACATAGGCCAACATTTAGAACAATTCACTCAACACATATGCAGAATAGATATTATCAGAAGTGTAACTAGAGATTATTTTTGTGTCCTCAAATTTTCCCAAATTGCACACTTCATGCACATGCCATGACACATACTTCCTGGGCTAGCTGGATTGATGGCACCCTGTGAATTTTTTACTGCAGCAATTATAGAACACTTGGGCAACCCAACTCTTAACAGCTAGGGAATGTTATATATATAATCTTATAGATATATGTTCCTTGTCATATGTTACATGGGACTTTCACAGAACAAGAATAGACACTATTTTTTATGGGGCATTTCTATACTCTAAAATTGATGCTCTAATTAACAGATCTTTAACGTAATCCACCATTGGCGTGGTACCCAAATAGTTCAACTTTATGCAAAAATTATGCAACTTTGTGCAAATATATTACAATGAGAAGTTCTTATCCATAAGAAAAATTGCTGTCAAAGATAAATGATTTAATTGAAAAAATGAAGAACCAGTGGCATATAGTTATACCTGTCATGATTATAAGGCAAATTAATGTTAACATCAATGAATCAAATATATAATTTTTTCAAATTTAATTTATTCATTATAATAAACCATGCATGGGCAGCCCAGACTTGACAAATTTAACTGGCACATGTGATACTCGCATGTGTGTTGCACATAATTTTAATTTGTCTACTTAGTTGTTTACGAATTAGGCAAAGTAAGCATAACACACACTTGTAAGTGCCACATGAACCAGTCTAAATCTGGTCTGCCTATTATATACAATGTACCACAATAAACTGAGAAGATAAAACTTGGCTAAGAAGTTACAGATTATAGGTCTATAATACACCAGAATGTATAGTTAAAACAATTAATTAGATCAATATTAATTAATATGTTTTCCTAATAATCGGTACAGTAACAATAGTGAATTTGTTATTTGGAATGATGCTAAGGTGGACGTCAATTATACTTAATTTTACATCTGTTTTGCTGAACTTCAGACAATATAGGCAATTTGATATTTGATGATCACACTTTCTACATTCTAATATGCTGTAACTTTGAGCATGGAATCTGCATTTTTGAAAACTGATTTATTTGTGAACTTAGTTCCCAAAACCAATTGCAATACCAGGTAGCACCTTATTAATATAATGTCTTTTAAACGGTTGTTTTTTATCACAATATGCCATTAAATAAAATGGTTGCTTTACTAAATATCATACATGTATATATATATATATATGTTTAAAACAACGAAATGCAGTCAACCATGACAACGCATCCCTCAACTACCACTCATATCAGATCAACTTCAAAACAACCAATCAGACGCTCTCAACGTATACAGAGTCTTAAAGAACAGCGCGAAACTTAAATATATAAAGCTATACACATGTAAATAATTTAGATATTCTGAAGAAGACTCGAAGTACCGAGTCGAAAGCTCAATAAAAAACAATTTTAAATCCGGAGAACATTCATTGATAAATATAATATTATATTATATATATATATATATATTATTATTATATATATATTATATATATATTATTCTATTATATAGATGGGGGTATTTTACTGAGAACTAAAACTAAAAACACTCGTAGAACTCATACGCCACTACATCCGGGATAAAGTGCGTATTTTCCGCCATGTCGTGACATAACAGGTTTCAAAAATTTCCCATTTCGTTGTTGTGAAAATGCAAATAGTCTTTGGTTCGTATATAAAACGGAATTAACGTTGGAAATACAAACGAAAACATTTAACAGTATTCTACTTTAATGTTTAGGTTATAATTTAATTAAATTATATTTAACATAATTATAATAGTGGTTTTCTTTTATAATGGTCTTTCGCGGCTCTGTGTTGTACGTCGTCTTTATACATGTGTATTTTTGTCACTCGGAATTTAGTCCATATACTAAACAGGATATACACGGTTCGCTCGAATATATGGATTTTATTTATGTTCTGGTGTCAGAAACAATATTTCACTCGTTCGCTGCGCTCACTCGTGAGATATTATTTTTGCCACCCGAACATAAAATCCATATCTACTCGCATTTTACTGATGCTCAAATACATATTGTCAGGTCAGGCTTAGTCCACGAGGCTTTATATATTTAAGCATTGCCTAAAAAATCAGCTGGAATGTTTTACTATTGGTACAGGACTATGCAGTGAAGGATCATTCTGTACGTTATTTTCTTGTCCACTCACAGACAATTAAGAAGTGTATAGATAAAATCTAGAATATATATAAAGCTCATGGCATTCAAGTTAAACTCAAGGTACCCATGGCCATCTGCGAAGTCAACAGACAATCAAATTTCTCTATTCATTAAAATAAGATTGGCTACTCACTTCCGGCTTGCAAAGTGTATTAAAATAGTTTTATACAACCGGCCCCAGGTTTGATTGTAAACTGCACTTGAGCACAAATACACTTGTATAGTGAGTGGAGTTATAGTTTGCTTTTACACAAATTATGGTTGAAAATACACATATTTGTTTTGTTTTCTACACACTCTTTCTCTTTCTTTTATTCAGCTGTAAATTTCCTTTCGTATATTATTATAATTCACAGGCCCAAAGACTATATGCAGTACAACTACTCTGCATTCCTTTCCATGAACTTTCAATAGTGGAAGAAGTTATTGCATTGAACACGTCTAATGTGAAGACAAGTTTCCTATACAATACAGGTAGAAGTATTGCTAATATGTTTTTATTAACTGGCTTATTTTAGTTCTTTACATGTAACCTGTTGTAATGCATAATTACAAATTACAAAAGAATAGTAGCGCAGCGAAGTCGCAGGTAGTTACGAAGTTGCAGATTTTTTAGTATGGAAATTTATTGATTTGAAAAGGTTCTGTCTTAAAACCAGAATATCAAAGTACAGTAAATTTAACACCATATCCAACTCATGCTGAAAGGGCTAAACCGAGTGAAACATGCATATATGAGGCCAGTGAAGGGACCTAGCTATACTACACTCGAATATAGCTACCTACTGTATATATAAGCTGTTCTGCGATCTGATTGCTCGAGATAATAATCGTATATCAGCTCAGCAATCATCGTATATCAGCTCAAAAAGAAAATAGCCGACAGTTTTGCTTAGGGGTGATAAAGAAGGAAAAACTATTAAGAAAGCCATGAAATGAATGGCCATATAGTAGCATACATGTGATGGGTCAATTAAGTGAGTAAGTGATTGATCTCTGCTGTGTTCCGAGGCTTGTTTCCTCAATAGGCTGCTTTGATAAATATGATTATCATGCATATATCATTCATTCTCTCGCTGTAGGTCGATGTGGCTCAACTCTGCTCTGCAAAGTGCTCGATCAACTCCCAAGAGTTCAGTCGATATCTGAGCCTGATGTGTTTGCTATCTTAGCACGTCATTTTGACGAAAGAATGGTTGGTTGCTATCCTAAGGCACGTACGAAGAAGGCGACGTTGATCACAATCACCCGTGTCGCAATTCTTCTACTCAACAATTATTTTTTATTTCGCGCTCCAGATAAAATTTGTATCTGCTACAAGCTCAGATCCGAGACCACGCACGCAGCGGAGCTGCTGCAGAAAGCCATGCCAAGTGCCAAAAATATCTACTTGTATCGGAACTGTTTTAGCTTTGGTGAATCGTATGCCCGTGTCCGTGTTGAAGGAAATTACAACCTATACTGGCTTATCTCTACCCTTAGAGTTGATTCTACATATCTTTGGTATAAATCTAAGTATTGCCACCCACGTGTAAACAATTGTTTTTATCAAAACATGGGGAATAACCCAGAAAATGAAAATGTTCCATTTAGACATGGCTTCTACTGGTGTTTCACCTACATTTGGTGGCGCAATATTGAGAAAGCTATAACTATGATACAAACATACCCTGACCATTTTTTTCATGCGATATTACGATACGAAGATTTATCAATCAGAAAAGAGGAACTTGCTTTAATAGTTGCAAGAAAACTCGGCTATCTGGAAGAAAACGAGTCTTCTAGTGTAGAGGCGAGGATGCTTAGTTCGATTACAAGCGTGTTTAAATCGAACAGTCAGTCAGGCACTGAAATGGCATCAAAGCGAGATGTAGAGAACAAAGATGACGTCTGGTATGGTGAATGGGAGAAACAGCAGATTAATGATGTTCTACAATATCTTGGCCGTACTGTTAGGAATGGAGATTTTTTTATACCTGGAACCATCTAAGAATATCTGCAATATGTTTGGAAATTCAGCGGCAAGTATTTGTTTGAAGTGCCCGCCTGCATGCCAACGATTGAACTTCTTGATCATAGCTTCCACCCAATAATAAATTAGAAAGAAATTTCAACGAGAAAGTCTATGGGAGAGGAATTGCAAAATTTGAGTTTTTATGCTCCGCACACACTGAAATACCTCCTCGATGAAAATATAGAAGTGTACAAGTTTGCTGTGAACAGTCAGGGGGAAGTTCTTACTGTTTCCGGTGACGACATCATCATCACCCTTAGGACAGGAGAAATTAAGCGGGTTGAAGTACCTGAACTTGGACGTTATTTTCCCATGGCGCTTGTTGTTGATGTCAACGACAATGTTTACGTGGTGAGAATGCTTTTTACTGGCGGATTCCTGTTGACAATATTGAACGACAATTACACTATAAAAGCAGAAAACAGATTGGATACTCTCTGGACGGAAGATGCGTTTCAGAAAGTTAAGATCGCGATATGCAAAAACAAAGATATCATCCTCCAGAAACTCGGTCTTTTTTATGTTTTTGACAAGACGGGTCAATTGAAATGCGAGTTTGAACATTAAGTCAGTTGGGGATTTTCATTGAGAATTTCCCATCAGAATGAAATCATGGTACTAACAAGTGTTTCTGAGACGGTTAGAATATACACCAAGGAAGGAAATCTGAAGAGAACAATAAAAGTCCCAGAAGATAATTTTGTTTGGAGCGTGGCATTTCACTACGTAATTTGTAAAATATTGGTCTTAACTAGGCTAAGGAAAACTGATTCGTTTTTCATTCTGCGCTATCCCGAAGCAGGCGAAGAGCTGGAAACCATTTCGTTTTTTGATAGGGGTATTACAGGTAAGTATGCCCGATTAGTATCGTATCCAAATGGTCCTGTTGTCGTTTTACGAGAGAGAAGCATCACCTACCTTTGATGATCGTGTATATAAAGTATAAACAAACATTCTTAACAAAAAAACTGTATATAGAAAGCAGTATATACTTGTCTGAAGTAGAACAGACGTTATTGAACAGTTCATTTGCTTTTCACTGAGTTTTCTAAAATATTTATGATTTCTGCAAGCCAACTGATAAATTTGATTAAATGAATCGAAACGCTTCTATTGCCGCGACTGTATAAGCAGACAGTAGGTGTAGAGTTTTTGAAATTTGTAGAGTAACATTAAGTGGTCCTGTTTCTGTTGCAAGATAGACCAGCATATAACTTTTTAATAACGACATTGTTTTATAATGTTTTAATAACGACATTGATTTAATGCGAAAATTTTCTTTATAACATCTATACAGATAAAAGTGTATTAATTATATATTTTATGATATAATTTAGTGAAAATTTCGGCTCTGCATTGTAATGTCATAATAATAGATTGATCATGTTATAAACATAATAAACAAGATTAGTCCTGTTTCAGTTTGTCTTATTCATGGTAAATCTTTAAGAGTTGAATCGTTCAACCAAACTTTGACCTAAACTGAGATTAATTGATACTATACCTTGACGATTTTACCTCAAGTGAGATAAGATCAATAGAAATTCAATACCACTGTTTCTAAAATTAATAGAAATCGAACACACAATGATTTTTGTATCCATTAACAAATACACGCGTGGAGGTTTTCTCAAGTGAACTTCTCTTCTTAAAGTAATTCTCACGTGATCAAACATGCATGTGCTATCGTCTCCTTAGTTACGTTTTCTGGTATTAATAGGAGTTAACTACACGCGCAAGATACAGTAGCCATGATAAGAGCATTGCAGCAAAAAACTGATGGTGGGAGAAAAAACTGTTGCCTTAAGGCTAAAAGTAAATATATACGTACAATAAGAGCAGTAGCAGTGAGGGGGGAGGTGATCTTAGCCACCTAAAATACATGAGAAATGTGTACGAACAAGGCACAATGAACTCGTCAAATTGCGGCTCATCTACATCCTCGTCCCCAGGGCCTAGCTCCGTTGGGCTCGCCTACTAAAATGCAAATGAAATATCACACAACGAGATCCTATGTACGTGTGTCATTTCCAAAAAAAGAATACCATTAACCTTTTAAGCTACTTAGCTATATGATATGATATTATTTGGTACATGTGAATATTATATTTATTCATCTTTGATTTTTGTTTATATTACTGTATCATTCTTATATAACGTGTAAAAAACAAAGTCTTGAAAGCCACTTCAGTGCTTGCTTTGCGACTGGCCTGGCGAAAGAGCCGGCAAGAATGCTGCAGCACATTGTATAAATAAATAAACTAAATACTGTATGCCATATAATAAATCCCGTATTGCTTGCGAGTTGCGATGCGTAGCATAGCAAGCTTTAAATCCGGTATTTTTTTTAATCGGGTCCTAGATAGCAGACCTCCGCGCGGCCAGCGCATAATTACCAGCAGCTAGCAGTGAACTGTAATTAATAACTGGAACGATACCTCCTCATTGTTTTCGTGAAGCCAAAATTTGCGGGACTTTACCTCCAGACACGCGTGTCTGGAGGTAAAGTCTCGCAAATTTTTGGCTTCATTCGCACGTGAGATCACTGCAGATGCAGAGCGAATTTGAAAGAAATTTGGTTTTTGGTTTGTTTCATGGTTTTAAATGTGTTTTTTTTATGGAATTATAATGGAATTAATCTTAAATTCAACCAGGTGAACTGTTTTACGAATTACAACTGGATTTGCCGATCGGATTGGAAACAAATTCTCTTATTAAACGGAACAGGTTTATAGCGATGTGCAATTTTGACAACAATATTTGTACGAAACGGATATCTTAAAAGCTAAAATTTCATCGCAAAATACATTTGGTAGACATTGTTTAACATTACAAGTTTAAGTTTATTTAATTCCAAGTGACTATAGATGGAAAAAAGTTGTATTAATTGCAGAGTAAAACAAATATTCCTGCATTGTCACGCTAGGCTCTACGCTTTTTCCTAGCAAAGAGCCGTTTTAATCCGCATTTCCAAAATAGGTCCATAAAATGCATTCTACTAAAATCAAGAATGTCTCAGCCGGCTGTAAGCACTAAGAAAATAAGTTATTTAACTCCCTAAAAAAATTTTTCGGGGAGTTTTTATCAAATTTTACGAAATCCGTATATATCCGGTGGTTGCGTGGCGCGTGGATAATGACGTAAGAATGACGTTTATTTGGCAAATTCTGGGAAACCAGCGAGCTCTGTCCATATCTCCTCTGTGCGACTGACGAAGACATATTGTAAATTTTCTTTGAAATTGAAGTTGCTTTTTTCGGCTGTTTGTATTCCAGTGCATTCCGTTGAATTGCTAGCAAACTCATGTCGTCCTGGTTAGTTAACGTGCAATGTAAAAAGATATTCAGAGATGCAAGAAATAAGTTAGTTTCAATTCTGCACCCAATGCTCAATGATTTTGACTACAAAGGTGAAAAGTTGGACATCAAAGACATTGCAGAATTCATGAGTAAGTTTGGAGTGGATTACTCCGTGTTGACAGTGGACCTAGACTTGGAGTTACTAATACTTGTAAAGACCGAAGAAGGAGTTGATATCAAGAACAAGCCATTTTTGTACGCGGTAAGTACGCAAACAAATATCGCAACTTCATATAGACAGAACTAAATATGAAATATTATATGTACACATAATTATATTATTGACAGCATTCCATGATGTAGATCCTACAGTGGACATAGGTTAACATTTAGAATAATTCACGCAGAATACATATTATCAGAAGTATAACTGGAGATTATTATTTTAATTTTTGTGTCCTCAAATATTCCCAAATTGCACACTTCATGCACATGCACGACACTTCCTAGATTGATGGCAGCTCTGTGGCAATTTCTTGCCTTCGTAAAACGAATAAGCATAACTGAATGTCCTGGGCAGCATTTATTTTCCCAGGCAGAACTGAATATGAGATATTATATAAATTATACACATATTATTGACAGCATTCCATGATGTAGATCTTACAGTGGACATAGGCCAACATTTAGAATAATTCACCTCAACACATATGCAGAATAGATATTATCAGAAGTGTAACTAGAGATTATTTTTGTGTCCTCACATTTTCCCAAATTGCACACTTCATGCACATGCCATGGCACTTCCTGGGCTGGATTGATAGCTAGCTAGCAGCCTGTGAATTTTTTACTGCAGCAATTATAGAACACCTGGGCAACCCAATTCTTAACAGCTAGTGAATGTTATATAATCTTATAGATAATGTACCTTCATGAATTGCATGGGACTTTCACAGAACAAGAATAAACACTATTTTTTATGGGGCATTTCTATACTCTAAAATTGATGCTCTAACAGATCTTTAACGTAATCCACCATTGGCCTCGTACCCAAATAGTTCAACTTTATGCAAAAATTATGCAACTTTGTGCAAATATATTACAATGAGAAGTTCTTATCCATAAGAAAAATTGCTGTCAAAGATAAATGATTTAATTGAAAAAATAAAGAACCAGTGGCATATAGTTATACCTGTCATGATTATAAGGCAAATTAATGTTAACATCAATGAATCAAATATATAATTTTTTCAAATTTAATTTATTCATTATAATAAACCATGCATGGGCAGCCCAGACTTTGACAAATTTAACTGGCACATATGTGATACTCGCATGTGTGTTGCACATAATTTTAATTTGTCGACTTAGTTGTTTAGGAATTAGGCAAAGTAAGCACAACACACACTTGTAAGTGCCACATGCACCAGTCAAAATCTGGTCTGCCTATTATATGTAATGTACCACAACAAAACTGAGAAGATAAAACTTGGCTAAGAAGTTACAGATTATAGGTCTATAATACACCAGAATGTATATTTAAAACAATTAGATCAATATTAATTAATATGTTTTCCTAATTAATAATCGGTACAGTAACAATAGTGAATTTGTTATTTGAAATGATGCTAAGGTTGACGTCAATTATTCTTAATTTTACATCTGTTTTGCTGATCGAACTTCAGACAATATAGGCAATTTGATATTTGATTATCACACTTTCTACATTCTAATATGCTGTAACTTTGAGCATGGAATCTTTGAGCATGGAATCTGCATTTTTGAAAACTGAGTTATTTGTGAACTTAGTTAGAACCTTATAAAGTTATTTATTTCGGGATTTAGTTTACTATAATTTTATTTTTGTTGCATATCCATTAATACTTTTAACAGCTAGCTAGCTGTATAAAATAACATACAGTACTTAAGTATGCCACCCAGGGCTGTATATATCGATACCCTGGGTAGCATATATCATAGGTCACACTTGCAATACCAGGTAGCACCTTATTAATATAATGTCTTTTAAACGGTTGTTTTTTTTATCACAATATGCCATTAAATAAAATGATTGCTTTACTAAATATCACTAAGTTCTAATTGTGGTTATATCATGCATCATTTGCAATATGTTTATTCAATAAAGAAATAATTAATTAAGTTGATCTCTTTTGGTGTCATATAAAACAAATAATGAATGTTTTCATTCCTGCAATGGTAATAATATTTTCATTCGATGAAAGATGGAATATTCTATTCAATCTTTCATTACATCCATATGTTTCACCTTATGAAAATATTCTTACCATTGCACTCATAAACATTCATTATTAGTATATTATTTCATTATTAGTATACGGACGTCCAATCTGGTAAATAACATATATATATATATATATATATATATATATATATATATATATTATTCTATTATATAGATGGGGGTATTTTACTGAGAACTAAAACTAAAAACACTCGTAGAACTCATACGCCACTACATCCGGGATAAAGTGCGTATTTTCCGCCATGTCGTGACATAACAGGTTTCAAAAATTTCCCATTTCGTTGTTGTGAAAATGCAAATAGTCTTTGGTTCGTATATAAAACGGAATTAACGTTGGAAATACAAACGAAAACATTTAACAGTATTCTACTTTAATGTTTAGGTTATAATTTAATTAAATTATATTTAACATAATTATAATAGTGGTTTTCTTTTATAATGGTCTTTCGCGGCTCTGTGTTGTACGTCGTCTTTATACATGTGTATTTTTGTCACTCGGAATTTAGTCCATATACTAAACAGAATATACACGGTTCGCTCGAATATATGGATTTTATTTATGTTCTGGTGTCAGAAACAATATTTCACTCAATTATAATAACTTGTAGGTACACCACGTAAGTATTAAATACTGCAAAGCTTTCGGTCCGTTAACCCGGAC